TCCCCACACCCACTCTTTATTTACTGAAGGGCTTTTCCCATTCCCTAGAACACTAATTGAAGAGGTTAAGTTTAACCCTTTATTATCAAGCTTTAAGCTCTACTTTTGCTGAAACCATATTGTTAGGAACGCTATCGCTTAGATGGAAAATCTACTGACGGCTTCGAGAGAACACAATGACATTAAAATGAGGCTTTATGTACAAAATGTTCAATTTGAAGTTGCATGTTCCTTGCGTATTTCTGTTTGAGAGGCTGAAACCAAGGAAAACAACTACGAAAATTAAAATCCATTTGCTCTACGTATCTGGATGACGCTCAGCCAAATGTTGATGACAGCTTGGATAAAAATGTAAATATGACAAAGTTTGTTTTTCAGTCAATAAGTCTTGGTAACAGCCTTGAATTGCTACCAACCAAAACCAGTTTTTAATTTTAGGCTGGGGTCGACAAACTTTTTCTATAAAGGAACAGTTAGTAAATATTTTTATAAACTTTGTAGACCACATATGTCTCTGTTGTATACTCTTCTTTGTTTTATATTTTAATAACCCTTTAGAAATGTTAACTAGTCTTCCAAAGGCACAAAAACCGCAGGCCACATTTGGCCCAGGGCCAGACTTTGGCAACCCCTGATTTTAGGAAAAGTGAATCCGAGCAAAAAATGCAGCATTACAGAATAAAATATCTAGAAGTGCTCTGATGAGACCAGGCTGCAATAATTAACCAGCATACTGCTATTAACATGATTTCATTAGCTATTTTGCACGTGGAAGGAATTTTAATGACAGGATGCACTTTGACCTCTCAACCTATAACTAGGGACACAAAAGAAAGGGCAAAGGACGGCTATCATATGCAGAGTTATCCCAGGAGAAATTCCTCACAGCAAAGCATAAAGGCAAAATCTAATTCCTCCCTGGAAAAAGTGGCGACCTGGATTTATGGGGCCGATCAGACTGACGAGAAATAGCTGCAGCTCAACTGTGAGAAGTCACACACACTTGAATTGGGGGCTTCATGAGAAGTTCTGCTACAACCAGCTGTGGGATCTGTGTCAACTTAACCTTAGTTTTCCTACATACAAAATTGGGGCAGAGGTAGAAAGTATAATCTCCAATTCTTTCTGCTATCAAACTATGACTAGACTCAATACTGAAACCACTCAGGAAATACCCCACCAGGAAGAGGGGGAAGGGCAGGGGAGAGAGCAAAGGAAGAGGCTCACGTTGTCCAGTTAGGGCTAGGTTTTCTCTTTCTGTTCCAGCAGGACCTCGCTCAGTACAGGCGTCAGTATGCCAGGTGTCAGTATGGCCTCATATCAATAGTCAACTGCACCCACATCCCACACGAAATATAATGCATAGCTGACTGTATTACTGTTTCCTAGTTGTCTTAACATCACATCTTACAGACATTTAAAACATTAATTATGGTTATGTAGGAGGTTTGGGGGAGCTCATCGAAAGACTTTTTTTCAGGGGCACCTGGGTGGCTCAGTCGGTTGAGCTCCTGCCTTCAGCTCAGGTCAGGGTCCCAGGGTCCTGGGATCAAGCCCCGCATTGGGCTCCCTGCTCTGCTGGGAGCCTGCTTCTCCCTCTTCCTCTGCCCCTCCCACCACCCCCCACGCCCACCCCACTGGTGCTCTCTCTGCTGTCTCTCTCTCTCTCTCAAAGAAATAAAGAAATAAATCTTTAAAAAAAAAATTAAGAAAGAGAAAAATTTTTTTCAGTTCTCAAACCTCTGAATTGAAAGGCTGGTTGGTCCTAGGCACTGGGCCTATAATTTCAAATGGATACATCATCCCTACTCAGTAGTTAACGAATATTATCTGACTGATACACTTTAAGATTCCCAATGGGTTCAGGTGAAAGATAACGCACCCTCCACCACCCCCAAGAGCAGAAAGGAAATGTGGGGAGATGGGATCTCAGAGAAGGTAGCAGAACCTTAGAGAAGTGAGAAGAAAGTACTCATGAGACAGCCATATCTGTGATCCAAATGACTGTCTCCTTCCTTTCATGATGGCCGAATCACTACCAAACAGGATCTAAAGATGGAAGATGCCTTTTTTTAAAAACGACTTGAACTTTGACAAAGCAGTATTAAGACTAAACATGTATCTGCACGGGAAGAAACAAGCACACATGCATATCTACCAATCTCACACACACAAACCTCAGGTATTAAGAAATGGCTTTTTCCTGTGATGCTGACCTTACCAGGTTTAGTCAGCAAGGCTGTGGCAGACCCTGTCAAAACCCAGTCAGAAAAGCCCAGGAACTTATACACCTAGGTACCTCAAAAAATAATTATGTCTGCGAGGAGACGGACCACCAACTCTTACCTCAACAACTTCAGATCACCAGCAGATGGGGGAGAGGGTTGTGGGGAGTGGGTATTGCTGCTAGAGATGGGGACACTCCAAGCCTACGACTGCGGTTAGTGAACATGTGGAACTTTTTTTCACTAGAATGGTGTTAATATTCAGCTTCTTTTCCCAGCTTAATTTCAAATGCAAAGCATTAGGTTTCAGGTAAAAAAATTTTTCTGCTGTTTGAAGGCAGTGTGATACGGCTTCCTGTTGGGTTCTGTGGCTAAATAAGAGGCATGGATTTCCCCTCCTCCATGTCAACTGAAGACACAGCTCAGAGCCTCTTTTAACCACATCCACCCCACAGAAAATACAAAGACCAAGATCACATTTGAGACTCATCCCAATGAATGTCTACCTTATGCTCCACACAGTTTCAGAACACTGGTTTTCCTGCCTTCATAGCTGCAATCCTTCATGGAACCAATTTCAATTAAAAAAAAAATCCATACAAGAAAAGATTCTAAGCCATGAGCATGAAAAGTAATTTTTAAAAGCTACTATCACAAAAGGAAGAAGATACCCATACAGGAAATGTGGGACAAAAATTAAGGCAAAAAAAAAAAAAAAAGGAAACTAATAAAGCTATTTCAAACGAGCAAAAGTCAGCTAAGGAGCTTAACAGAAACTACAGCAGCAAGACTCACTCACTTTGACACAGGAGAATGCTTCTGGGAGGGTCACACGAAGAATGGACAAAAGGCTACCCACTCAACTTGTTAGAAATTGTCCTTTACCATATGGACTGCACTATGCATTCAACAATGTAAAAGGTTTATTCGGAGTTTTGAAATTAGTACCAGCATCCAAAACTAACGTCCTTTAGTTGCTGTGACAGCTCCCACCAAATCTCTTAGGAATATACTTGAGACACGACATTTAAAATCTGCTTCCTCAGAAAAGAAAAAGTCCCACTCAAGAATGACTGCCAAGAACTTGCAACTCAAACTTCCCTAAACCCAGACATCATAACACCAGGGAGGTTTCAGAGCACTCAATCTATCTGAAAGAGGCCAGAACAAACAAACATAGACTTCCCTAGTTCTCAATTTTAAGAGCGCTCTATACCTAAATATTCTTTTTTTTAAATGGTAAATTATCCTTAAAACACACAATTTTCAAATACAATTGTTACCATAGCACCATAACAATCCCAGAAATTCACGGTGAAATATGGTCTAAGAACCATGTGAAAGGTGCTTAAGTGAGCTACTATTAGAAACCACAAACATCACCCAGACAACCAAAAGCTAAGATTCTTAAGGTACTTAATTAACTGCAGCTATTTAACAAAGGAGATGATGTTAAGGTCACTCGTGCAGGCAGCTTAAAACCAGCTTTGATTTGCTCTTCAGTTTATGCTAAGTTACAGATCTCCTTACCTGAACACAAAGTCTGCTGGGACAAAAGTAGAAAGGACAGCTCCCCGCCAAGATCAGGGAAAACGATTAATCAATTCAAAGTAATTGGGGGGTACACTGTAGTGATTCATTTAGCAAGTAATAATTAAAACCAAGGCAAAACGCATAGGGAGGCAGGCAAAATGTAAGATCAATTCCTCCACTGAGAAGCTATTAAACATTCAAGCCCAAGAATTTACAACGTTGAGAAGTGATGCTTCTCAGGAGATGGTAGTAAAGCAGTGAACCATATTTTCCTGACCACACCACTCCCCAAAGTCACCGATTCTCTTAACACCAGTTAAGGCTCACAGAACAATTTAATACTCTCTAGACATTATTCCACCATTCGTGACGTTTTGCTCTTTCTCCTGCCCTTGAGCCAAAGGAAAGGGAGAGAGAAAATGGTAACCAGGGTTCCCGGTTCCTGGAGAAAGTCCTGTGGCCCGTGCTTTCTTCCACTTCCTCTCCCTCTCCCATTTTCCCTGTCTTCCCTGCTCAGCCTCTGGAGTGTATATTCTGCTTCTCTTTTTCCTTTCTCTCTCACACCCAGCTTTCGTTTACTTTCTCCACCACCTGTCCTGGCTCCGACCTCTGATCCCCTGAACTCTTCTCTCCATCCTGCAATTTTCGTTCTGCCCCTCCCACGACAAGAGATACAGACCTCTTGCGGCCAGTGCCCCCCATCCCTCACCTCCCGATCACTCGTTCCTCTGAATTCCCTTCCGATTGTTGGGTTCTCACCTCTCTTGTCCCTTGTGTCCTCTGTTCTTTTACTTCACGTCCCTCCCATTCCCCTAAAGCTTCATTTCCCCTTCGCATTTCCTTCCTCTTTCCTGTCTTTTAATCCATTTCACACCCACTATCCCCTTCTCTTTCTCCATGAGATTTCGTGTCTCCCGCCCCCCACTTTGTCCCGCTAAGACCTTACCCTGTCACTCTCCCAACCCTCTCATTTCCCCCAATACCCCTAGCCCTTGTTGCTCTGGTTCCCCTTCCCCTTCCTTGGCCCCCAAGTTCCCTCTTCACCCCGCCCCCAGACTCACGTCCCCGCCCGCCCCTCTCCCTCACTCCTTCACCCTCTCCTACTGCCCTCGCCGCCCTGCTGTCCCCGGGGTCCCCTCTCTGGGGCTCCCCAAGCCCTCCTCCAGCCCGCTCCCCGGCCCGCCTGCACCCGCCCCCCGTATCTCCCTCACTCCCCGTCCCCGGCCGCGGCCCCTCCCTCACCGATGGTGGAGATGAAGGTGGTGTTGAAGGCGTCCTCGGAGAAGCGGAACAGGAGGCAAGTCTTGCCCACCCCCGAGTCGCCGATCAGCAGCAGCTTGAAGAGATAATCGTACGTCTTCGCCATCTTCTCGCTCCGGCCCTCTGACCCGGGAGCGAGAGAAGCGGCGGAGAGAGGCGGGGAGGGGGCCGCGGGCGAGGGGGCGTGTCCGCCTAGCCACCGCCGCTCGCCCCGCCCTGCGACCCGCCCCTTCCCTTGGAGAAGGCCTGCGCGCTCCGCCCCGCGCGGCCAATCCGCGGGGGCTTCGTCATCACCGCCCGCGTCCCAGGGTTAGATGGGACTTGTAGTTCCTTGGAGGAGCCTCGGGCGTGCCCGGCGCCGGCTGTCCGAGCAGCCCCAGGGGATAAAAGAAGATCCGCTGCCTGCTGGGTGAGCGGGTGGATTAGACGTTTCCACCCCTGCTGGGAAGGAAGGCTCGGTTTCGAACTCTGCGCGTCGTGCCGCGGGAACTCAACTTCAAGGTTTCTTTGTGTGTGGGCGCCTTTCAAATCCAGACCTCGGAATCTGAGCCCCACGACTCCCGCATCTCTTCCGCCGGGGCCCGGAGCAGAGATGCCTTTCTTTGCTTCACGCTGCTGTGGCGCAGCCAGTGGATTATCTGCAGGGTGCGTTATCTGGCTTCTCCTGCAGTTCCTGCCCACCACCACCTCTGTGCCCCCTCCCGCAGCCCCTCAGTTACAAATCTCGAAAAGAATGATTGCCGTTCTAACTTAAACCCTAGTCATGTTCTCTTCACGCCACACAGACCAGAGCCGAACACGATTGGTATTTTAGAGGATCTGCTATGCAGACCACTCCCCTCCCCCTGCAAGACGATGGGTAAAAAATCTGGGAATTGAAAATATTAAGGCTTGTGCTACAGGTCTGTGTCCTATAAAGTGGCAAGCATTATGTGAGACAGGAACTATGACCGTGGGAATCTAGAGAATAAGATTTGGATTTTGTGACGGCTGAGCGGCTTAACGGCTCCGTGTCGGCGCACCAGTTTTCTCATCTGTAAAATGGGTATAAAACAAGCTGTTTCATAGGGTTGTAGAGAAAATTAAATGAGATAATATGGAAGCACTTTGAAATCCATAGGCATTGTAGAAATGTTAGTGGTGATGGTTACCTTCTTAAGCCCTCTGGAGGCTCTCAATGGATGACAAATGAAGGGGGGGGTAGCATTCTGTTATACTCACTCTACTCCTTTATTTACTGGTTTAAACTATTCTTTGTTTTGTGGATATAGTGTTCAGGCCTCTTCGTTTGCCAGTGCCAGAAACCCAACCAGATCAAGTTCTCCTGGAAGGGAGATTTCCTGGCTCAAGTAAAGCCTAAGGGCAAGGAATGGCTACGCAGGTCTAGGACCAGAAGCTCTATCCAGTCAGGGCTCTCTCATCTCTTCTCCCTTCTCAGTTTTAATTTCTAATACGCCAAATACCGATTGATAAGACCAACATGAACAAAAGCTCTTCAGAGTCCTCAATAATTTTTAAGAGGATTTTTTTTTTTTAAAGGGGTCCTGAAGTTAAAATATTTGAGAACCACTGGCCTAGGCATTTACCTTAGATCTAAGGAAATACCTCCTGGAAGATTAGAGGAGGTTATTAAGGGAGCCGGTGGACTCAACAATTAGTGGAATAAGGAAAAAACTTGGGATGGTTAGTTAAACAAGACAGGCTTTTCTAAAACACATCTTGAGTGCCTTGTGACTTCATGTATGGTGCCAGTGATATTCCATTCTTGGTCTTGTTGTGGCAGAAGAGTCAGTTGGTCTTAGTATTGGCCTTCACCTTCTGTGCAGAAAGAAGATGAAATGTGTCATTGACTCACATTTACTGATAATACAGTACCCAGAAAGTTGCTGCTAATCTAATGTCTAATTCCTGGAGCCCACTAGATGGGAACAAAGCTCCTAAGGATGTCAGTGTCAGTTTCTGTCCCCTCAAGAGAAGGGCCCTGCCCTCTGCCTCCTTGCCCCAGCCAATTCTTGGACAAGTCTGTGAATTTGGCCTCAACTGGGGCTGAACAACCATGAACAGCTCAGTTCTATACCTTCACCTTCATTCTGGAAAAGAAGGGGGAAAAAATCTTCCAAGACCAGTGAAAGCTTTCTTTTATAAAATGTGTACTGATTAACATAAATTTCAGCCCCACTATCTGCATGTAACTGTTGGCATTCGTTTTCTGTGTGAGTAAGAACACACTGATGTGGTATAGAACTTAAGTTCAGAAAGAAGTTGGAGTTAGGAATTTTAAAGTCCCTAAATTTCCTTGGGGGAATTTTGTTAATTGATGGGAATTAAAACAAAACAAAACTGTGTCTTATTTTCACTTCCCTGGTTTTTCTCTACCACCAAGTGTATATAATATTGGGACTTTCTAGGTGGTAAATCTGTGCATCACTGTTGAACCACTTAAGAATTTTGATATATGGACACTATTTCAAGAAGAATCCAAATTTTTCCCTTTATGCATTATTAATTTTTATATTTGTACAACAGTGTTCTTAGAGATCAGATTTGGTGGTAGTAGCAGTACCATTAAATCAAGGTACTTTGCTCAAAGGACTGGACAATAAGTCTATTTGTAGAGCTGAGGGTACCACATGGAACAGGTTGCTGGTTGCCACCTTCCTTTCTTTCTCCAAGTGGCATTGGTGGACCCCCTTTCTAAAAATCCATGCTACTGTGCTCTGAGGAAAACACATCAGTATTTTTTGCCACTTGCCCAAACCCATCTTTGAAATGCTACATCACTGCAGAGCACGAGGAAGAACAGAACATTCTATCTGATTCTGTAAATGTTTATTGAAGCCTTTGGTAAGGTTAACGTGGACATAGCAGCTTGACTTACAGAAATCTAGATATTCAAGGAGTTAACCCTCTGTGGTTTTTGTCAGGCCAGCACTCTTCCTGCTTTTGGGAAAGGCTGTGAATCATGGTACTTTACTCCTCCAGCCAAAGCGATGGACATAGGACCAGGCTGCGTCAATCTGAGTTCTTCCCTGTGAATCTTCTAATGGGGAGCGGTAACGATGCTGAAAGGAGGTCTGAATGCTGGGAGGTCTGTGTGAGCTTCAGGCTGGTTTTGATCAGAGCTTTAGTTCATTTTCCTGTATTCTCTTTCCCTGCCCTCCTCTGCATGTTTACTTTGTCCTCGAGCTGGCTTTCCTTTGCCATGTTGCACAATTCCAAGGGCATTATTCGCTTCTTACAGTTTATTCATTTGGGGATCAAAGACATCCCCCCAAGAATCTACACATATTCTTGAGAGTCTGTGTGTTCTCTAGGCAAATTTTCAAATTAATTCAAGCGTTCTCCAACTGTATTAAATTGCCCTATAAAACTCGCATGTAAGAAAAGTTACCTTTCTTAACTGCTTACATGAAATTAAATTTGGCTGAGACCCCTACTTGTCAAGGGCTGGCAAAACTGGTATCTATCATTACTGGGGCTTTTCTTCCTCGTAACTGCATCCTATAAGAATCCAGGAGCTTACATGGTCCCGAAAAATTAGGGGCAAAGCAGCTTCTGGTCATCAGCCTGCACCCGTCAGTGTTGACACTTCTGTCCAAACACTCTCGGGTTCTGGTCCTCTGCCATCTGTTGAGCACAGCTGTCCCGGTGGGCTACAAAGATGTCCTTCATGGTGATTATTTTCACTGACTGATGACTCAGCCATCGAATAAGTTCTCTGTTATCTAATAGTTTGTGTACTTCTTTGTCTTCTCCCTTAAAACTTGAGCTCTTTGAGGAAAAGGACATTGCTAATTTCTCACTGTGCCCCCAGCAAGCCTAGCATGATGGCTTAATTGAGCAGGTACTCAATTAAGTTGTCAAATAAATGAATGAACATCTGACTGTCGTGCCAGTTTTCTAGTTTTTTAAATAGCTGGGACACCTTCAGTTTATTATTCGCTGTAAGACCTAGGTATTTTTGACCTCACAAATACCTTTCTGTTTTTTACCTATCTTGTATTTATATGTTATTCATTCTGTAAGTATACTATTCATTATTGTGTTTAAGAAATCAGTGTGATTATATCTTACTTCTCTAGCTTGTTAAGATCATATTGGATGATAATCCCTCAAAAAATACCAATTTCTCTTATCACCTGTGTGTTATCCCAAAACATGCTATTTGTTTAGTGATATTCCAGTGGGATAATTCTATAATTATCTTCATCAGAGAGGGACAAACAGTACTCTTTCCACCCACTGATGTTTCCTGGGTAATCATGGGATGAATAATGTCCACTCAAACAAATATCCATTAAGCTCACTATGAAACCAGCTCAGCAAGGCCACTTGGAGAATAGAAAGAGATCTATCATGTGGTCCCTGCCCTCAGTTTGCTTCCCAGTTAATTGAGAGGAGAATCCACAAGTGAAAAGGTCAATGATAAATGGGAGACAGGTATTTGGTTATATACACTTCGTTCGTCCTGATGGGTCAGGTGTTCATTCTGACCGGTTGGCTTTTAATTCAGATTGGTCAGGCATCCATTTTGATTGGTTGGGTGTCCATTTTGATTATTTGGGCATACATTCTGATTGGTCAGGCTTCCAAACTGATTGATCAAATGCTCATGCCAAACAGATTGTTAAATATTTTGCATATCATGACTAGATGCAAAAGTTAAATAACAAATGATATAATACCAAAAATTGCTGCCATAAGTATGGTATCTGCTTGATTAACACATTTCTGTAAACCTAGCTTCTTAGAACAGAATCAGTAGGTGTATAACAAAGGTGTAGAGGGGATGAGAGGACATTCTGCATCCTTCAGGCCTGGGTTAATAAACATGACTGAATGGGAGGCCATCTATAGCATAGGCCCTTAGAATATGGGCAAGGACCATGGCCAATGCTCAGATGAAAGCAAAACTCTTTCTTGGGTGTCAGGAGTGAATACCTAATCATCCAGAATGTGGAGGGAGCCACCCAAGTTGCAACAATTCTGAGTGGCTCCATTTCTGGGTAGGGTCCAGCCGGCAGAAAGGGGAGGTCAAGCTTAGCCTGCGTAGAGAGTTGGGATCAATTATTTTACTCTACTAGGGGGTAGATTGTAAGAAATCCATTTGAATACCTCTTGTATTATTTCTTTCTCTGATATAAAGTTTCTGACAATAAAATACTTTACAAAAAATAAGATAAAATA